CACCCTTCACACGTTTCGCGACGCCATACTCAGCTCCACCTGCAGTGGCGCGGTTCGTATGGCAGCACCGCGTCCATATCGCAACACCCCTTACGCGTTTCGCGGCCCTGCTCCGCGTTGAAGAAGCCGGCCGGCCAGCCAGCCAGCACCAGAAGCCATCCCTTTCACGGTGCGCAACTTTCGGGGAGAGGGTCATACCTTGCGTCGCTCGCAGCTGCATATGGTTGGGGACTTCGACAGGCTAATCTGTTGATCGCGGCAAGAATATTTTTCCTTCAATTAGGCTTGCCTCAGCGGTTTAAGTTGGAGGAAGGTTGGTGCCTCGGATTCTTACGTTGCCCGTTGCTCGGAGGTTTCCCGGACTCCTCGGGTTCCTTGGGTTCCTCGCCCTCGGTGCCTCCGATTCTCACGTTGCCCGTTGCTCGGAGGTTCCCCGGGTTCCTCGGGTTTCTCTGGTTCCTCGCCTCCAGTGCTTATCGGAGGTTCTTCGGGTTCCCCCGGTTTCTTGGGTTTCCCGCTGCCACCATGACACCAGACTCGACCGTGTCACGCGTTCGCTGATGGTTAAAGGTGTTCTTACTGGGTTAAGGTTAGTGCCTCGTATTCTTATGTTGCCTGTTCCCCGGAGATTCCTCGGGTTCCCCGGTTTTCTCGGGTTCCCCGCCCCCGGTGCCTCGTATTCTTATTGTGCCCGTTCACGAGAGGCTCCTCGGGTTCCATGGGTTCCTCGGGTTCCCCGCCCCCAGTGCCTGGTATTCTTACGTTGCCCGTTCCTCGGAGGTTCCTCGGGTTCCCAGGTTCCTCGGGTTCCCCGCCCCAGTTGATGGTCTTGTTTCCCAGCAGTGCTAGGCAACGCCAGGCAACGTCAACCAACGCCAAGCAACGCCAAGCAGATCAAAGCAGTGCAAAGCAACGCCAAGCAATGTCTAGCAACGCCAAGCAACGCCAAGAAATGCCAAGCAACGTCAAGCACTGCCAAGCAATTCCAAGCAACGCTAATCAGTGCCAAGCAACGCCAAGCAATGCCACGTCGTGCAAAGCAACGCGAAGTAAGGCCAATCAACGCCAAGCAACTCCAAGTAATGCCACGCAACTCCAAGCAATGCAAAGCAACGCTAAGTAATGCCAAGCAACGCCAAGCATCGCCAAGCAATGCGAAGCAATGCAAAGCAATGACAAGCAACACCAAACAATGCAAAGCAATGCCGAGCAATGGCAAGCACTGCCAAGCTTTGTCAAGCAATGCCAAGCAACATCAAACAATGCAATACAGTGCAAAGCAAAGCAATGCAATGCCAAGAAATCCTAAGCAACGCCTCTTAGGAAACGTCCCCTAATTGGGTTTGCGCCGGGCTCATTGCATCGTGGCAAGAATATGGCTTGGGACGCTTGGGAGTTTTCCCATTACGTTTGGTCCTCCGGGGGGGTTCTCGTCTCGAGTTTTTTGGGTGTTGTTCGTTGTTGTTCCTGATCATGGTCGGAGGCCTAGAGGTTGACACCAAAACCAATGTCGGCGGTGTGCCTTCACAGAGGGAATTCGATCCCGATCCCGGTGATGGTGGTAATCTCCGCACTTCCCAGATGGCCGAAGTATCACCACCAACACTATAGACTCTAGTTTTATCTCCCCCCAGTGGATGCAGCCCCCTGCATTGGTGTTGGTGCCCGTTCCTAAGCCTCCAGCATGGCCAGGAGGATCTCGCCTCGGACGTTTTTCTGGATCGCGGCACGGAGATGGGCTGTCTTCTTGCGTTGGCCCCATGCTTTTTGGCCCTCCCAGGGGGGGGTTCTTCTCGCCTCGAGGCAGGAAGGTCACGCGCACGAAACCATACACCCTCGGAGGTCCGCGCGGCTTCTTGGGCTGGTGCCGGGGGGCCCAGCGATAGCAAGGACGGGCAATCTTCCCAAGGGTACCCTTGGATCCTCCGCCTCCTCTCGAAGAAGAAAGAGCGCCAGAAACATAAAACCTTTCTGGCGTTACGCGCGGATTTCTTGGTTCCGGGTGTTGCTTGCTGTTGTTCCTGATCATGGCCAGGAGGATCTCGCTTCGGACGTTCTCTTCTGGATCGCGGCAGGGCGCTGTCTGTCTTCTTGCGCTCCCCATGCTTCTTGGTGGGGCTTCTCGCCTCGAGGCAGGATTCAGTCGGGCATGCCCCTCTACAGGAGGAGTGTTCAACAATAGTCGCAGCGCAGTCTGGGGGCGAATTGTTGGGCTATTTTGGGGCATTCGTTTGATCAGTTCTTCTCTTTCGTCCGCAATTCGCCCGTGGGAGGACCTGCCCGACCTAAAGGGCAGGAAAGGCACGCGCACGATCAGACGTTTTCGGAGGTCCGCGCGGTTTCTGGGGCCTCCCCGTGGGCCCCCCCCCCCCCTGGCGGTGCCTCCAGCGCCAGGGGGGGGGGCAGCGGTAGCAAGGATGGGCAGCCTTCCCAAGGGTAGCCTTGGATCCTCCGCCTCCTTTCGCAGAGGGAAGAACGCCGTCAACATGAGATTTTTCGGCGCTCCGCGCGGATTTCTTGGTTCCGCGCTAGGCCCCCCTGGCAGTGCCTCCAGCGCCGCCCATGGCGCGCCCCGCGTGCCAGGGAGGGGGTCAGCGCCGACCCCAAAAGTCTGCGCGGCCATCCGGAAGTTTATACGTTTATGCCGGTTTGGATTCTTCTCCACCGCCGCATGTGAATTCCCTCCGGTGCTCTAGTCAGGAAGCATCCCAGGGCCGTTTTTTAATGCCGATGTTTGCACTCCCCCCTCCCCTCTTCTCGAGGCTCAGCATGACGGAGCGCGGTCCTGGAGCAGAGGAGTCGTGGAGTGGTTGTGCGCCGCTCTCCCGCTCCTGGGGCCCCAGCAGGTTCACGGTGGACCGTCAGAGGATGATCGGGGGCGGCCAAGAGGTGGGTGATGACTAGTGGGGGTTGGATATCATGGCGTGGGCCATGATATTGCCTCAGATGTCATGGTGCCTCTTCTTATTTCACTACGTCCCTGGCCCCCCCCTCTCCCCTGGGCCTCGCACATGCCGCTGGCCATGATTTGCGCCCCCCCCCTCTTGGACGCCCCCCTCTTGGCCGACCCCGAGATGACTCGGGGTGAGAAGGCGGTCCCAGGGGAGAGCCCCGGTGTCCAGAGCCTATTTCCGCCATCGTTCTGTTCTCGGGCGACGAAATCTATACATAGTGCCACTGCTCCCTGGCCAGGCCCATCCTGAACCCGGGAGCTGTGTATATACGCCCTCCTGGCCAAGCCAGGAGGGCGTGGCGTATACCCATCGGTCGTTGAAAGTAGGTATTTTGGGATTCTCAGGTTCCAATCTACTTTAGGCGCCTTCCTACTTCAATGATCGAGTGGCTTCACCGTTTCCGTCCTCTTCAGGGGGCGCGCGGAAGCCCAATCTGTTCTCACCGCCTTCCTACTTCACGTTTCTACCTACTTCTTCCGACCGATGGGTACACCGCCGCTGCTGGGTTCAGGATGGGCCTGGCCGGTGAGCAGTGGGTTTGCATAGATTCCGTCGCCCTATTTTCACTCGTGCCAGTCAGTGGCACCGTCAGGGGGGGACCGGCCAAGGGGGGGGGAAGCGTCGACCACGAATCGCCCATTCGTCGCCAATCGGGGCCTGGGCCCCCGCCCCGCCCAAGAGCGCATGAGGTGTCGCGGCCGAGGGCCCTTCGCCTCCTCCTCCTCCTCCTCCGCCTCCTCCTCCTCCCCCTCCTCCTCCTCCTCCTCCTCCTCCTCCTCCTCCGCCTCCTCCGCCTCCTCCTCCTCCTCCCCGCCTCCTCCTCCTCCTCCGTCTCCTCGTCCTCCTTCTCCGCCCTCCCCTTCCTCCTCCTCCTCCTCCGCCTCCTCCTCGCTCCTCCTCGCTACTCCCTCCTCCTCCTCCTCCCCTCCCCTCCCCCATCCCCCTCCCCCTCCCCCTCCCCTCCTCCTCCTCCTCCGCCTCCTCCTCCACCCCTCCTCCTCCTCCTCCTCCTCTCCTCCTCCTCCCTTCTCCTTCCTCCTCCTTCCTCCTCCTCCACCTCCTCTTCCCCCTGGAGCTGTTCCCTTTCTGTCGTTCCCCCCCCCCAGCCAGTCGGTGCAGGTGGCGACGCCCTCCTCGGTGGATCTTTTCCTCGCCCCCCTATACGTTCTGATCTTTACACAGCGCGGACCCCTCCCAGAGATCTCGCCCTCCTTCCTAGGGTTGTTTCTTAGCGTCACGGGTTGCTTTCTTGACGGTGCCAGCTTCTGGTGGGGGCCCCCAGGAGTCAAACGCTTGATTTTCTCGCCGTTCTGGTTCTTTAGCCACGCGAGGTGGGCTCGGGAGTCGCTCGAGCGAGGGTGGGAGGTGAAAAGGAGAAGGCCTTCTCAGAAGGCGGCGGGGCTTCTCTGAGAGCTTCCGGCCTTCTTGAGAAGTTTTCTGTGTTTTCCGGGAAGGCTTAGACAACTCCGCAGAGGGCCGGGGGGGACTTCCGAGCCTTTCGGGAAGGCCCGTCCCTCCTCACTTTTCCCCCCCCGCGCTCGCCACCAGGATCCGCCCCTGGGGCCTGTCCTGGCGTGCGTTCGGGCCAGGACTTCGCGGGGAGCCCGGCCGTGGCCGCGAGGAGTGGCCCAGAGCGCCCGCGGGAAGGTAAGCTCGGCGTCGACACGGCATGCTCGTACTACATGTGCGCCGCTCCCCCCCGGTGGGCGCCGCGTGCGCCGAGAAATCTCATGGTATATGCGTCGTGGCGGGCGCTTTCTGGCCATACCGCTCGGGAAACGACACACTACACGGTGGGTCTACCATGCGTTCGGCTCGGACGCGCGCCTCCGAGGGGGACACATCGTACTAGTACGTCTCCGTGCATTCCATAAACCTGCGGAGTAACCCAGATCGTGGATCTTCGATCCTCGACCTTCGACCCTGGACCTTCGACCCTCGCCCGTCGACCCTGGACCTCCGACCTTCGATCGTGGATCTTCGATCCTCGACCTTCGACCCTCGACCTTCGGTCCTCGCCCGCCGATCCTCGGTGCATGCGCGGAGCTGCCCCGCCAGGCGCCCGGGCGGCCGCGGCGAAGGTGCCGAAGGCCGTGCAGATGTCCAAGCGGGGCGGCCGCCGGCGCAAAGCCACCTGGCGCAGCCACGGCAAAGC